GGCGCTGCAGAAGGCGAGAGCCGGCGGGGATCGGGCGGACTGTTGGCGGACGAGACGGAGTACACTGCAAAACAGAGATAGCCGAATTAGCGGGCGAGGCGCCCGGCTCGAAGAGAGGACCAATAACCAGACGAAAAACGGGGCCAGCGGCGGAGCAACGCACAAGGCGAAACTTCGTTTTCCCTTTTCCGCTTTTCCCAACGGGACTTACCAAGCGAGAGCGGCGAGCCGGGAGCGCCCAGGGATGATACCCAAACCGAAACGATACCAGGGCGGTTACGACAGCAGTTTGCACTTATGACGAAAACTCAATAAGTGTAGCACCTAGAAGCAAGGGAACAGGTTTTCCTTGTTTATCAAGGCCTACCGGAGTTTTGTTCCCATATGGGCCAAGTCCAAATTCCGCTTCCCTGAGTTTTGTTGATTTAGGCCCCCAAAAGAACAAAACTCAGGAAAGCGGAATTTGGACTTGGCCCATATGGGGACAAAACTCCGCTAGGCCTTGATAAACAAGGAAAACCTGTTCCCTTGGTTCCAGGTGCTACGCTTTTTGCAATTTAGTGATAAGTGCAAACTGCTGTCGTAACCGCCCTGGTATCGTTTCGGTTTGGGTATCATCCCTGCTTACAAACGCATGCTTGACGCCGTATAACTCCATGCGTCAAGCATGCGTTTGTTAGTGTGTACTTGCAAGCATGCGTTTGTAAGTGTGTACTTGGCCAAGCATGCGTTTGTAAGTGTGTACTTGCAAGCGTGCGTTTGTAAGTGTGTACTTAGTAGACAGTTAGGTTTGTAGTGTAGTGGATGGTTCCGACGGCTCCGGTCCGGAGCCCTGGCTGGGGCCACCGGTGCGCGGTGCGCGCTCCGGAGACGACGCGAGGATGTCGTCCCACGGATCCGGAGACCAGGCAGCTTCCCGCTGGTTCGCGGTGTGGGCCATCGAACCATGAATGGATTTTGAACCTTTCCGAACCAAAACATTACACCCGTGGCGAAGTGTGGAGTTGCTTACGACACCTGAAGCCTGCAGTTCCGCCCCGAGCGCAGTGCTACCAACATGACGGCTAGAGTGGCTACCTTACTCCTGGCCGTCGCGGCCAGCCTGGGCGCCGTCCCCGCCTCCACGACGACTGCAGCAGACAAAACGGTGTACTGACTCGCTGACCTTCACCCGGCGAACATTAGGATGGAACGCCCCCTCAGCTATACAGCGACAGTGCACCACCTGGAGGACCCCGTAACAGTCTATGTGGAGGTAAGGAGGTGCTATAAAAGGTACAAAATTGATTGGGGCTTTATCCCGGGATTGACTCACGAAGAGCAAAATACAACTTACTGTCATCCCGATAGGATTGAGATAAAAAATTGGATCGCCCATAAAATGGTGAGAATCGGCTGCCGTGGAACTTTCTACGGCTCCGAGGCTGATAACTTCAAAGACAATCCTTTCAAGAATGAGGCTTGGGTTGACTCAGCTCAAATTGATAAGAGTCGTATGGACACGTCTTTTGGCAGGCACAACCTGCACATTTCATGGGAGGCCTTCATGACCCATAGCAAGAAAGCGGGCCCGAGCATCGACACGACGCCAGCAACTGGATTGACCTCGCCGACCCGACCAACCCCCACGTGATAGCTATCTAGCGCATGCCTGGTATGCATGCACTGTGCATACATGCCATGTACACGCTAACTGAAGCATGCATCTAGTGCATAAGGGATAGGGAGTTGCCTGTATCAGGAAGCGTGTACATGGCATGTATGCACTAGTAAGTGCATGCTTGGCAGGCATGCGCTAGCTAGAGCGTGCTTGCAGGCATGCTCCAGTTGGAGCACACAATGTACGCTACACGACTTGTAGAGTATGGCGAGACGAAACTACCAAGTGGACCATGAGAGGCTGTTTACGTATTACGAGGCAGTCTACGTTGCTCGAACTGCATACTCGTCATCTGTCTTCCTTGAGAGGTTAGACATCAAAGTTATGAAAACCAGTCTTCAAATCTCGCAAAAAAAGTCCTGAGACGACTACTAAGGGCATACAATACAACTCAGGTCAAAACGCTGCAAGTTGTAGCAAGCATAAAACCGCTAGACTTACGACGTACAGCTAAAAGAGCGTGCAATTAAAAACATCGCAAAACGTCTCCGTTCAAACCTCCGTCCGGGTTCGAGCAGGTGCTGCGTGTTCATGAGGAATACGTTGAACACCTTAGGGCCGACAGGGCGAGGAGAATTAGACAGAAGAGGTTTAGAGACTTTATTAACTGGGTGTACTCTGTTTTTTTTTTTTTTTTTCGATATTGTGCGGCCGAGACTTGGCTATTGAAAAAATTTATTGGTGGGACGACGTTCTTATTATCCGGTGGGCTCCTCGAGCCCTATGCCCACCAAGTGAAGTGACGAATGGCTGCATATGCTCGAAAGTGATAGCGACTATATACAGCAACATGAGCTGGCGAGTCGAGTTCACGACGGAAGACGGGATAATTGTGAGACGGGACACGGGACACGAGTACGGACTTTTAGGACTGGCAAATAAGTTTTCATATTTGCCTTCAAAGTGCTGTGCGAAACCTACTCGTATTAACCAGTGTGTCCCGATTCCAAGCATCGGTACAGCAAGTCGTGAAACTAGTATTCAATGAACAGTTATACTGTTGCATCGGCCGCCTTCCGGGCCCCGCGACCACTAACAAACGCATGCTTGACGCATGGAGTTATACGGCGTCAAGCATGCGTTTGTTAGTGTGTACTTGCAAGCATGCGTTTGTAAGTGTGTACTTGGCCAAGCATGCGTTTGTAAGTGTGTACTTGCAAGCGTGCGTTTGTAAGTGTGTACTTAGTAGACAGTTAGGTTTGTAGTGTAGTGGATGGTTCCGACGGCTCCGGTCCGGAGCCCTGGCTGGAGTCCTGGCCGGAGCCCTGGCTGGGGCCACCGGTGCGCGGTGCGCGCTCCGGAGACGACGCGAGGATGTCGTCCCACGGATCCGGAGACCAGGCAGCTTCCCGCTGGTTCGTGGCCGTCACCTGGACTGGGGAGAAGCGTGGTGATCTGGACCGCCGGGGTTCCTCCCGTGGGGAGCGTCGCCGCTCCACGTCGGCGTAGGTCCGCCGGTCGTCCTGGTCCCGCCGCGGCGCTGTGCGGAGTCCCGGAGGTCGGCGGGGGCGCTGCTGGCGTTCCCCGCCGTGGCGCCGGTTGCCGTCGCGGTGTCGTTCAGCGCCGCTTCTTCCCTGCCATACGCACGACGTGGGGAGGAGAGGGAAAGAAAAACGTTATCGTCGGTCGGTATCGTCATGAGACAAGGGGTAATGGACTCGCAACGGAGCTGGCCGGAATCTCTGCCTTGCGAATTGTAGTCCACTATTTCTCCGACTAAATATGCGAATTTTGAGATGGCTCGGGCATTTTCGGAAAGAGGACACCTTAAAGTATGCCCAAAATTCGAAACAGTTTCAATTTTCCCACCATGGCTAGAACAGGAACAGCTTCACCGTTGCGCTACTCAAATGCGCAGCGGTGAAGCTGTTCCTGTTCTAGCCATGGTGGGAAAATTGAAACTTTTTTGAATTTTGGGCATACTTTAAGGTGTCCTCTTTCCGAAAATGCCCGAGCCACCCCAAAATTCGCATATTTAGTCGGAGAAATAGTGGACTACAATTCGCAAGGCAGAGATTCCGGCCAGCTCCTTTGCGAGTCCATTACCCCTTGTCTCATGGTATCGTCGGCGCATTCGAGTTGCTGCTGCAACTCTGCTTGCGAGAGAAAGGAGCACCGCGTAGGTCTCGCTGCCCTGCTGGTGCACATGGTACAGTCGTGGCGCGTAGCCGTTGACTTCCCCTAGCTGTCCCTGGCTTGAGACCATTTTTTTGACAACGACTCTCAGTAGCACGAAACTCGCGACACACTGCACACTACACGCTCCCACACTGCACTTCAGTAGCAAACTGACAGTCCGGCGCCGCTCCGTATTATAAGCACCACCCCGTTCCCCCCTCTTCCCACCCGAGACCACCGCTGAAATGCTGACTCGAGCTAAGCCGCCCGCCGCTACCCCGATGACAGCCCCAATTCTTTTCGAGCGCTTCTTTTCGAGGCCACTGTGGCCTTTTGTGCTCGACCAGTTCTTTTTAAAATAATTACTCACATGAGGATTCTGCTGCAGGCGGCGCTGGGATGGCTGATGGGAACAGCCTGCGTCGCGGAATCTTGTACACTCTAGGTGTAGGGATGTTCTTCGAGGCATCTTCGGGAGAACCATCAAAATACACATCAAGAATTTAAGACAACCGAATAATACATTTTTTCACTCATGCACTAATTTTTTCCACACGTGTGTTTTATACGTACTGCACAAATCTATTATTTCTAACACTCGAGGTCTCTTCGCAACGACCTCGTCACAACGCTGACCTTCTGAGTTCATTTTTTCTTCACACAACTAACACTAACACACGCTTCTATGCTGAACTTCAGTAGCAAACTGACTGTCCGACACCGCTTGCTCCGCATTTTGAAGCACCACCCCGTTCCCCCTCTACTCACCCGAGGCCCTGTTGAAATGCTGACTCCAGCTAAGCCGTCCGCCGCCAGCCCGATGACAGCCCCAGTTCTTTTCGAGCGCTTGACGCCATCTAGCGACCAACTGACCAACTACAAACTGCACTTTTGCGACTCACGCGCTGCGTGAGCGTCGATTGGGTTGCCTACCCAACAGGCTGAGAGGCAAAACGCAGCTTTCCTCGTTTTTTTTAAAGGACAGACAATGGAAGTTTAATGCACTCACTTTCATAAAAATTAAGGACACTTATTTAATTCAAATTTTCATACACAGGTGGGACTATGTTTTCCGATACATTGAACAAATGTTTTCGGAGCCCAGAGGCTCTTTTTATATCATCAGAGAGGGCTGCCGGCTAAGGGGTATTGAAATGCACGTTTTTTTGAATTCCATACCGGCACACCCGGAAAAGGGTTCATTCCTACCTAAAACCACCGCAAACCAAATTTGAGACCGATCGAAAAATATTTAGGGGTCGCTACAATGGCTGAAAGTTGTAAATTTGACGTAATTTGAAACAAAATACAACTTTGGAGTATTTGAAGCCCTGTGCATCCGGTGTTGGTCCTAGCTTGTTGCCCCCGGAGACTTTTTTTTTCTCGGGATCCAGGCCGACCGAAAGAACCCTACGGGATGCGTTTTTAGCGAATGGTAACGGAACTGGGTCCATTCTACGCTCAAAAAAGTGTTTTTTTCTCCGCTTTTAGTGTTTTAGAGGCCTGCCAAACTTTTGCTTTGCGTCACAAAAATTCTAAACCCATGTATTTTGATAGAAAAAAGGTTGCTCTTTCAAATGGCGGTCACGGAAACAGTCTACGATTTTTGGTTTAGGCTCCAGAGCCGTTTAAAGTTGAAAAATGGATTTTATTTTAGTGAAAATGAGAGCAAATGTTCACTCTTAGTCACGTGCGACGTATGGTTTGGCCACTTGCGCTACCCGGCGAAGTGCAGGCGGTGCGCTGTGGTGGGAGAAGCTTCCCGGGTAGAAATGGACGGCTTTTATACAGCTGGTAAATATTTTGTGACCAAAGTAACGCGCTGGCGTTCGAAAAATACCTGGATTATGTTTAGACTGTGTCAGCCTCTTTGCTCCCATTCGTTCACAGCAGGTCGCAGCAGCTCCACGCTATAGACTAGCTGTTATTGCCGCGCGTGATCAACAGAGTTCGCTGGATCGTGACATCATGGGCTTGACCTGGGGCAGGGACCGGCTGAGTCCACACGGTCGTGGATACGTAGACGGACCGCTCAGCTGCAATTCTTTTTCAGCGATGACGCTCTGGCCCAGCGCCCAGCAGATCCGCTCTTGTCTCGCAAGCGGCAGGTTTGTGGATCGACGCCAGTGGTCTCTCTTTTGCTGCTGCGGCCAGCGACGCGGCAGCTCTTTGCCTATATTTTGTCTTTGCCTTCTGGGCATCTTTTAAAGGTCGTTTAAAACGACGTCGGCCGGCCAGAGACTGGCAAAACGTCCACAAAATATCCGAATATTTTGTCGACATCTTGCTGACACAGTCCAAACATAATCCAGGTATTTTTCGAACGCCAGCGCGTTACTTTGGTCACAAAATATTTACCAGCTGTATAAAAGCCGTCCATTTCTACCCGGGGAAGCTTCTCCCACCACAGCGCACCGCCTGCACTTCGCCGGGTAGCGCAAGTGGCCAAACCATACGTCGCACGTGACTAAGAGTGAACATTTGCTCTCATTTTCACTAAAATAAAATCCATTTTTCAACTTTAAACGGCTCTGGAGCCTAAACCAAAAATCGTAGACTGTTTCCGTGACCGCCATTTGAAAGAGCAACCGTTTTTCTATCAAAATACATGGGTTTAGAATTTTTGTGACGCAAGGCAAAAGTTTGGCAGGCCTCTAAAACACTAAAAGCGGAGAAAAAAACACTTTTTTGAGCGTAGAATGGACCCAGTTCCGTTACCATTCGCTAAAAACGCATCCCGTAGGGTTCTTTCGGTCGGCATGGATCCCGAGAAAAAAAAAGTCTCCGGGGGCAACAAGCTAGGACCAACACCGGATGCACAGGGCTTCAAATACTCCAAAGTTGTATTTTGTTTCAAATTACGTCAAATTTACAACTTTCAGCCATTGTAGCGACCCCTAAATATTTTTCGATCGGTCTCAAATTTGGTTTGCGGTGGTTTTAGATAGGAATGAACCCTTTTCCGGCTGTGCCGGTATGGAATTCAATAAAACGTGCATTTCAATACCCCTTACTGCCGGCGCTTCTCCGATGATGCTGTCCATCAATTCTTGTGCCAGCTCTCTTGATCCAGGATGTGGTACTTCGCACATACCCACATGTTGTTGCCAATGGCACTAGCCTATGTCCTCAGCACCGCGCCCGAAACAAACCAAGGCAAGACCGCAGGCTTGGGAGCGGAAGGGGAGGGGAGGGGCAGCGCGGGTGGCCGGCAGGTCAGCTCGGCCCCGCCCTGCAGTATCACGACGGTTGTCCTCATGGCCCCCGAAAAACCACTCCCAGGGCCCCGGCGGTCGCGGGGCCCGGAAGGCGGCCGATGCAACAGTATAACTGTTCATTGAATACTAGTTTCACGACTTGCTGTACCGATGCTTGGAATCGGGACACACTGGTTAATACGAGTAGGTTTCGCACAGCACTTTGAAGGCAAATATGAAAACTTATTTGCCAGTCCTAAAAGTCCGTACTCGTGTCCCGTGTCCCGTCTCACAATTATCCCGTCTTCCGTCGTGAACTCGACTCGCCAGCTCATGTTGCTGTATATAGTCGCTATCACTTTCGAGCATATGCAGCCATTCGTCACTTCACTTGGTGGGCATAGGGCTTGAGGAGCCCACCGGATAATAAGAACGTCGTCCCACCAATAAATTTTTTCAATAGCCAAGTCTCGGCCGCACAATATCGAAAAAAAAAAAAAAACAGAGTACACCCAGTTAATAAAGTCTCTAAACCTCTTCTGTCTAATTCTCCTCGCCCTGTCGGCCCTAAGGTGTTCAACGTATTCCTCATGAACACGCAGCACCTGCTGGAACCCGGACGGAGGTTTGAACGGAGACGTTTTGCGATGTTTTTAATTGCACGCCCTTTTAGCTGTAAGTCGCAAGTCTAGTGGTTTTATGCTTGCTACAACTTGCAGCGTTTCGACCTGAGTTGTATTGTATGCCCTTAGTAGTCGTCTCAGGACTTTTTTTGCGAGATTTGAAGACTGGTTTTCATAACTTTGATGTCTAGCCTCTCAAGGAAGACAGATGACGAGTATGCAGTTCGAGCAACGTAGACTGCCTCGTAATACGTAAACAGCCTCTCATGGTCCACTTGGTAGTTTCGTCTCGCCATACTCTACAAGTCGTATAGCGTACATTGTGTGCTCTAACTGGAGCATGCCTGCAAGCACGCTCTAGCTAGCGCATGCCTGCCGAGCATGCACTTACTAGTGCATACATGCCATGTACACGCTTCCTGATACAGGCAACTCCCTATCCCTTATGCACTAGATGCATGCTTCAGTTAGCGTGTACATGGCATGTATGCACAGTGCATGCATACCAGGCATGCGCTAGATAGCTATCACGTGGGGGTTGGTCGGGTCGGCGAGGTCAATCCAGTTGCTGGCGTCGTGTCGATGCTCGGGCCCGCTTTCTTGCTATGGGTCATGAAGGCCTCCCATGAAATGTGCAGGTTGTGCCTGCCAAAAAGACGTGTCCATATGACTCTTATCAATTTGAGCTGAGTCAACCCAAGCCTCATTCTTGAAAGGATTGTCTTTGAAGTTATCAGCCTCGGAGCCGTAGAAAGTTCCACGGCAGCCGATTCTCACCATTTTATGGGCGATCCAATTTTTTATCTCAATCCTATCGGGATGACAGTAAGTTGTATTTTGCTCTTCGTGAGTCAATCCCGGGATAAAGCCCCAATCAATTTCGTACCTTTTATAGCACCTCCTTACCGCCACAGAGACTGTTACGGGGTCCTCCAGGTGGTGCACTGTCGCTGTATAGCTGAGGATGCATTCTTTCTCAAACCAAATCAACTTTCCGGGTCAATGTGGAGTTTTGGCCTCCCAATTTTTTCATCAAGAGGCCCTCACTAGGAGAGACTCCCTGTTCAATATTTTTGCAATCGGACCAATAGTTTGGGAGAAAATGACAAAAAACCATTTTCACCCATTTTAGCGCAATTTAAGGTTGAAAAATTTCAAAGTGCCAAAATGCTGCTAAATTAAGGTCCCACTTCCCCAATGCTTTTCTTATTTGAAAGAGCATATTAAAAAGTAATTTTGAGCCACTTTGGAGTCAGCTGACTTTACGTGTTACCCCAATCGTGTAACATTATAGGAATTTTACGCAATTTTCATTTCTCAAATACTCCGACTCAGAACTGGACCGAATCAGGCCCAAAGCATCCTTACATAGCCCTAAGTAATATCCCAAGTAGTCGTCAAAAATATATTTCATTTGTGGATTCTGGAGCTGACTTTATAATCTTAAGTCTTTGTAACTCGATGAATTAACTGTTTTGGACTCGGATGCATATTTTCTCCATCCGAACAACTCAGATGGGGCTCAAAACAGATTCTTAACTTAAAGTAACTTTCTCTCTTGTAAATGAGCCCAAACCACCTGGAGGAAGGGTCAAAATTGCCTCACAACAAATTCCACTGCTTTCCGGCAAAATTCCTAAAATGTTACTCGATCAGGGTAACGCTTAAAGTCAGCTGCCTCCAATGTGGCTTTGACATAGCACAAGCATCAAAAATATGTCTTTGGATAAAAGCAATGAAATGAACACCAGAAAAAATAATGTTTATCTGATGAGACAGACCCTTTACCTTATGCTGGAAATGATGTTTTCAGAGGGGAACCACTTACTATGAATTACCTTGTTTTCTTCTGGTGGTCATGTAATTGCTTTTATCTAAAGACAGATTTTTGATGCTTATTTTGCTATGTCAAAGCCACATTGGAGGCAGCTGACTTTAAGCGTTACCCTAATCGAGTAACATTTTAGGAATTTTGCCGGAAAGCAGTGGAATTTGTTGTGAGGCAATTTTGACCCCTTCCTCCAGGTGGTTTGGGCTCATTTACAAGAGAGAAAGTTACTTTAAGTTAAGAATCTGTTTTGAGCCCCATCTGAGTTGTTCGGATGGAGAAAATATGCATCCGAGTCCAAAACAGTTAATTCATCGAGTTACAAAGACTTAAGATTATAAAGTCAGCTCCAGAATCCACAAATGAAATATATTTTTGACGACTACTTGGGATATTACTTAGGGCTATGTAAGGATGCTTTGGGCCTGATTCGGTCCAGTTCTGAGTCGGAGTATTTGAGAAATGAAAATTGCGTAAAATTCCTAT